CCCCCCCCCCCCCCCCCTCCCCAGTGCTGGGACGCGCACGCTGGCTCTTGCCACGGATGCTGCTCCTTAAGAATTCATTTTTTATATTTGGATGGACGCGCACAGTTGGCTCTTGTCATTGATGCTGCTCTTTGAAAAGTTGTTGATCTCTGGAATGGTGAGAATCGTGAAGAAGTCCGTTGTTGGTGACTGTGTATTTTCTCTCCGGTTGAAATTTGCTGTGCACTCTTTTTAACTTTTTTTTTTGTTTTCACGTGTGCCGATGCATCACACGTAGTGTTAGATGTGTGTCGGTTTTGTATGGTTGTAAGCCCTTGACGCGAACGGGATGATACGAAAGCATGCACCCGGCGGTTGGGTCGATTGTAAAAGTATGTTCCGATGTCGCGGCTCTACTGTGGCACTTACTGTGTAAGAAGACGGTCTGGATCCGTTTGCGGTTGGTGGACGCGTTCAACGTCCGTTGGTCTTTTCGTTCTTTGTTGTTGTTTTGGATGTAGTGGTGTGCTAGCGCATCAGTGTATGCGGTTGTGATACTTCGGCGGATCCAAAGTAGAGATGATCGCTCGCCGCGTGTTGTGGATTTCGTCTGTGTCATCGTGAAGACTCGATCCGTGCAGCGCAGCAGTAAAAGACGGAGAAGCCAGCGCAAAGAAAGGACCAGGTCGCAAATTAACAAAGTTGTGTGCACGTCTAGAAAGTGGAGAAACGCCTGATTCGATGCCTTCACGACTAAGACTAACGACCGCGTTGGTGTGCATGTTCTTTCAGGGGAAGGAATCGAACGCCCTTTTGGGGATTTGATGCGCTGTAGTCCCCTCCGGGCTTTTAGAATAGCTTGAAGGGAACCGCAAACTTTCTGTTAACTCTTGAACACCGGTGGTGTCGATCACTTGATGTTTGATGAGACCTCCTGCCCAGAGACAGGGTCCTCGCCATGATTTATTCCCCTTTTCTCAAGACAAGTGCCGACGCGGGTTCCGTAGTTGGCAGCGTTCCGTCGTGCTGGGAAATGGATCAATCTGATTGGCCCCTAATTTGATTGCAAAGAAGATTTTACGGCATCGTCTGTGGGATCAATCGGTGATGGACCTCCGGGAGCGGTATGTTCAGCAGATGTGTACGTGGCGAACCCGCATTTGCTATTAAAACAAAGCCTACATCCTCGCGATGGCCACTCACTGTGGAAGTCCGGGAATGAACATAAAATGCTTTTTTGAGATCAACATGGTACAGTTTTTGAACATCCTGTTTCGTGTTGGAAACCCCGGAAAACATGTCGTGTTGTCCCCAAATGAAGATCGGGAGATTGTCGAAAACATTATTTACTCGTTCGCGGACAAAATCGACATCAGACCCTCGTGTGACATGCCCGATCTGCATCACTGTCACGCGCGTACGAGCGCAAACAGGAGCGGTCTAATAGTGGTCTGATCAGCATAGTTCAGATTACAAAACAGGACAAAAATGGGTCGAAACCGCATGAATCCACAGCTAAGCCCATGAGCGGTCCATTTTCCCTCTCAGCATATCCTATTCCACCATACTGATCCTGGGAACCGTTTTGCCAATATTGCATCAGCAACTCAACCGGAGTCCTCCTTGGACAAGCTTGTAGAATTAGAACTTTTTTCTCAAATTTTGGGGTAAATGTGAGAACAAAGTTCGGGTTTATCGCCTTTCGAAATGGTGCACTCGAGAATGAATCCTTGGGTTATAACGTCACCTCTCCCGGGAGGCACGGCAAACATGCGCATTTGTGGACGTGTAGTCAAATGGGCAGCGAGTTATTTTCTGGAAGTCGTGAACAACAACGAACAGCACAAAAACTATCGGCCAGTAGTCTACGGCAGCACCGCCAAATGACACCACAAACTGCTGACAAGAGCAGCAACAACTATCACGACAATTTTGCCATGCCACATGTTACAAGCATCACCAACGTGGACATGGTCAAAACCCTAAACTTCTAAACAATAGCTAGTCGAAAGTTGGCATCCAGTTTCCCCGAAAACGAAAAATAACATGTTACGCAGAAAGAGCAAACGAAAGAAAAACAACCTACCGCGCTTCTCTACCCTTTGAGAGTCGTACACATTCGGCATCGAACAACAGCTGATGGGTAGGTTTGGGGCTGCCATTTCTCCCTCCTTTTATTCTTCTCTGCCAGAGGGGTTTCCCTTCGCCGTCTGGCTGGAATCACCAATAGCACAAGAAATATAAAAATGCCCCCCCCTGGTTTCCGATTGGCTCTGGTGACAGGTTGGGTTAACCTGTTGGGCTGTCCCTGGTGCACCTAATCGCCTGCGCATTATGCAACAACGACAACCATGGAACGGGACGTAAGCATTTTCGGGATACTACGTTTGTAGAGGACAGCATAGTTTGGCGTTGCCAGTTGACAGGTCGAACCATGCCTTAAAACAGATGCTGGATAGAAATCGTACCTTTTTGTCGGATATTTATGACGAACGAACACATGACGATTCGGAAAACATTTGTGGCACGCAGTTCGCTGATTGGTCAACGCACCTGCGGCGGAATTTCGATAATTCCAAAAAATAACAGGCACGACCCAAGATCCTTGTTCGGCGGGTGGCGTTATTCACGGTGAAATCGAGGATGGCACTTCAGGAAAGCTTGGGAACATCGTGTCTTCTGACAATGATCATCTCACAGGTGGCCAATCGGCTACCCCCTCCAAATCCTCTGCTGCTGCGAAAATATTCCTCTTGAGTACAAATAATCCGCTGGAGTAATAGAATCCCTCCAGAAGGCGACAATCTATAACACTCTAGAAGATTATTGTTGCCTTGGGGAAACTGGACCAACGAATGCCTCTGGAGTTTGGACGGATACATGCTCCAGAGGAAAGGGAAATACATGTCACATAGTCTACGACGAGGATTTGTCAACGCTTATATCCTCTACAGTCCAAGTTTACTGTGCCGATGTGATGGAAGACAGACAAAAGGTGGTGGGGGGGTCAGAGTGGGTGTGCCCTGCCAACGCAGCAACAGGAGTACACTTGCATCTGCCTCACAGTACAGGAGGTTGCAGTGAGTCAAACGACACCCCCACGTGGCATTCGTTGTGACAAGATCGACGGGATGGAATGGGAAAGAGGGCCGATAATAGTATGCCATGCTCATTGAAGTTTGTCTGATGGTATTTTTAATACAGCGCCACGGGTGAGGGCCAGGGAGGCAACTAACCCATACACCAATTAAAGATTAATCAATTTGCGCCTTAGTTCTGCAGAGAGAGTTATAGAGCTCAGGTTCGTACATCCGTTTAGACCGTTGACAACGGCAAGCGCACAGACACGATAAAGAGCTTTCTTTGGAGGGTTGCACTTCGAGGTACTTGTACGGGATAGATAAACTTTGCGTATCGATAGGGCAGAGCGTGAGATGGGATTGGTGAGAGTATTCGCGGGGTATCATTTCTTGACGCTGGTGGCGGCTCATCAGGTACTGTTATTTGGTTGCAGGAACAACCGGTTAAAATTAACATTGACGATAACACCGACAACCAAAACACCACCAACGCCAAGGAGCACCTCCCGTACTTACGCGAAACTGCAAGGTTGCCGCTAGACAAGCGCGGGGAAACGTTGATCTGCAGAGCCGGGGGGGTCTTCTGTTGCTGCTGCTTATGCCGAAGACTCTTCTTGGCATCCTTAAACCCCATTACGTGATTGTTCCCCCTCAAGTAACGCGGCAGCACCGACGGGTCCGTTCGGTGGGACACCGACAGGATGCCCCCCGACGTCACGAACATCTGGATGTTTGTGTCGTTGAGGTAGCGGGTGGCGGGGGAAGGTAGGGAGAGAGAGTGCGCGATAAACACGTGATCTCTGGCGCGAACAGAACATATTATCTATGTTGCAAAGTAATGCAGGGGGGGGTGGAATCTTGAGAACTATACCGGAGGCAGGTCAACAAGAAGGGGGAGGTCGGGATATGGGAAACGGGACGGCGCCTTCTGGTTCCATAAGAATCATCAACAGGTATCGCTACTCAATTCGTGTGAACGGAGTCCTTCGATCCCCCAGACTTGTTGAGGGGCAAGGAGGGGACATTCAAGTTTGATTTGAGTGATCTCATCGATGAGTGTGCTCCGCACGGGTGATCTTCGTCAAGGGCATTTCATGACTGTCTTCTGAACGAAAAAATTGCAAGGAGGAATTCCTTCTATGGCAAGAATTTTTCGAGGTGAATGTAAAGTCCTCGAGTTTAACCATTAAGACACACCTGGTCATGTACGTGTATCGTCACCTTCTCATGTTTTCCGCGGGGTGGAAGCTTGACAAGGTCCAAGACATCAACCTCCGAAATTAGTGCGGGTCTTCGTTAAAACAAGATAACAGCTGAAGAACATAACAACTCGCCTTTGCGCTATTATAATACTACTGTTGGGCGCTTTTCTACTGAAACAGCCCGTTAGAGCGGGTTGTTCGTTGTTCGACAGCTTACTCATCACAACGCTTTCTGCATTGAGATGTAGACCCCACCTGATTGTGTGCCTGGATGATTTTCTTGTTGTCCGTCAGGAGATCTCGGTGAAAGCTCCTCGTCGCCTCTTGGTACTTGTTCAATCGATCCAGCAGCATCTGTCGTGGAGATGGTTGTTGTTGTTACTTTCGTGTTTTAACGTTTTAACGCTATGCACCACCGTTCTGACCCCTGACCAGCCTACTCATAAGCAAGGGGCAAACAACAGGAATATCACGAGTACGGCACGACAGCGATGAGGTACTCCGTCCCTATCGTGAATGGGCTGAGTTCAGAGAGACGAAGCTATAGACGCTGCAATGTTGATCTCGAAGCATGCAATCTTCACCCGAATATTCTCCTCAAAATGTTGCAAAAGTCTACCCCACACAATTAGAATACCCGCTGGTGGAGAATTTGCCGTTCCTGTTCAGTTGCAACAGGTGAGGACACACATCGACCCGCACATGGCGAAGGGCTCAAGTTGATCATGTGTGTCAAGGGCGCTATTTTTGCGTCCTGGCAACAGTAGGCGGTCGAAGCGACCTTTGACGAGTTAGGGCGCCAACCATCTTGATTGCTAATGCATAGAGAACCGCTACGACACAAAGCCAACAACAGGGAATACGACGGTTATACAACACTGCTTGGTCAATAGCAAAAAATATTACTTTTACGACAGAATTACATCAGTTCAATAGCTTCTAGAATGATG